TGTTTCCCCGAAAATAAGACAGGGTCTTATATCTATTTTTCCTCAAGAAGACACCTTAGGGCTTATTTCCGGGGGATGTGTTATTTTTTTTAAGTATGGTACAACAATCTACATTTATTCAAATATAGTTAAGTCGTCTTCTTCTGGAACATCATCATAACTCTCCAAACCCCGAATTCCATCCTGAATTTCTTGCAACTCTATTTCCTTTAGAACCATTAGCCCCAGTCTCTCATGTCGAGCAACAGAGCTCTCATAGGGCAGATGAGAAGGGCTTGCTCCTCTTCTTTTGCCGCTCCACGACAAAATGCATGGGTTGTGCAGATATGCTGCACAGCCACGCCCAGCACTAGGTCTTATTTTTGGGGTGGGGCTTATATTGCACAAGTGCTTAGAAATCCTGCTAGGGCTTATTTTATGGGTAGGTCTTATTTTCAAGGAAACACAGTAGTACAGGCATGCATCCTCTAGTCCTGCGGTCCCCAGCCCCTAGGCCACAGACCGGTACTGGGTCTGTGTCCTGTTAGGAACCAGGCCATAGAGTGGGAGGTGAGTGGCGAGAGAGCTAGTGAAGCTTCATGTGTATTTACAGCAGCTCCCCATTGCTCCCATCGCTGCCTGAGCTCCGCCTCCTGTCCCATCAGCGGCAGCATTAGATTCTCATAGAAGCCTGAGCCCTACTGTAAACTGTGCATTCAAGGAATCCAGGTTGTACACTCATGAGAATCTATTGCCTGATGATCCAAGGTGGAGCTGAGGTGGTGATGGGGAGCAGCTGCAATACAGATTATCATTAGCAGAGAGATTTGTATAATTATTTCATTATATATTACAATGTAATAATAATAGAAAAAAAGTGCACAATAAATGTAATGTGCTTGAATCATCCTGAAACCATCCCTTTTCCCCTGGCCCCCCATGGTCCATGGAAAAATTGTCTTCCATCAAGCTGGTCCCTGGTGTCAAAAAGGTTGGGGACCACAGCTCTAATCTCTCTCATGTCATACTGTGGTTAAGCTTTATCTGTGCTGTGCTTATTCTTCAGTTATTTCACTTGACAAAGTTCAGTAAGAAGGAAATGAATGATGTAGCTTTAGGTATAGATCTGAAACTTTGTAACATTCAGGTATTTTGTGGACCACGTGCTTTACACATAGTTGCCAAACAAATTATTGCATGAATAAATTCTAGAGTAAAACAATAATGGGTTTAATCCATTCACTGCAGAACTCAGGAAGGTTTTGAGATGAATACCAAATAAATTTATGCTTCGAAAAGGAGTTAAGTTTCTTACTCTTTATGACAGCAAGGAAAGCCTTGACATCAGTTTGAGCTGGTTAACCTGATATTCTGAAGGTGCAGAGTCGTGTTTAAGCTGAGCCATGCATTTACATTCCCTTTTGGTTACAGGTTTGAATATTGCTTTTGTTTTGGCCACTCTTCCTCTATAGGATGCACATTTTCATATAACTATGTCCCTCCCTTCAACCTTATGCTTTGACCAGGCCACGGTCCATAGTATCAGAATCCATTCACCTTCACAGGGGGCATATTTCAAAGACAAGCCTTTGATGACCAAAGAGAATCTATTAGGATATACCCAACTATGGTTGATTTAGAAGGTACATTTTGGGACTGTCGTCTGAGGCTTATTGCTGCATTAATCTTCATGTTTACAAACAATAGGATTCCTTAATAAATTCTTGGACCATGAGGATATATTAAACCTTGTAGATATTCACTATAATGTGTTACTCCATGAATTAAGAAAAAAGAAGCAGAGAATATGACAAATCATGTTACCCCATCCACCAGTGAAATATGTTGTCCTATATTTCATTGTACAATATTTCCAACAAGTATACACACATAGACAGAGCCTCCTCTTCCATCTTTTTCTCTTTGATTTCCAGAAAGATAGCAGGCAGATTGGAAAGGGAGAGCTCTACTTGTTAACAAAGCCCTTCATATCATCTCAGGGAAATATATGGGTCTTAAACTATTGACTTTTCAGAGGAGAGCCCTCTATTTTTGTCATCTAAACCACACTAGTATCAGTAGTGTTGGGAGAATAAGACTAGTTAGAAAAGTGAATTTGCTTCAGGCTGGGTCTTGTGGAGCTCTCAAATCACATCACATGAGCACCCACTTCCTCCAGTTATGTTTCCAAACAGCAAATGCAATCATTCTCACCATCATCCACATCACTGCATCACTTCTGACAGTAAGAACATCTAACATTTGTTCTTTTCTCATAACCTCCCACTGTGAGTCCTGACCTTATGAGGGTCAGGCCACTGATTTTTGCCCATTAGTATTTAATACTGTACATATAAATGTTGTATTATAAACAATTTCTATGATTTTTTTCATCTCTGCTTCAAAGAAGACATGGCTCAGCATGGGGAAAAAAATCTCTTTCTCTCTCTTTCTCTCGCTCTCCCTCTATACACACACACATACACACTGCATGGTATCCTCTAAATTCCACTTCTGGCTTGATCCATATAATATAAATATTATTTTGAATATAAATATATATTTTGTAGTTTTAACATAAATATAGAGAATTGGAAACAGTAATCAAAAGATCCAGATCAGCCATTGCTGCCATTGTTTTGAGCAACATTTTTTCACAAACAAGGTTGAAGGCTGACATTATGAAAGTAATTGGCAACTCTTGTAGATTTGCTTCTAATAATTAATCTCATTAACTTAGGGACCAATTAGGCACCCCAAAAAAGGAGGAGAAGGAAGGAAGGAAAAAAGAGATGGAGAAAATCTAAAACAATTCTCTTTTATATATGCCAAAGGTAGGATTTGGGCTCCGAACCATTGGTTAGGCTGCCTTCCAAAAGCTTCAATGTCCTTTCCTCAGTTTGATTTGACCTGAAAGTTTTTTTATTTTCTTACACTAAATGCCACCAATAATTGGCAACTTAGTATGGATCCTTACATCCCATTATTTAATGCTGCAAGACTGGGTTTTTGGATGTGGTACTTGTCTTGGATACAATGGGTAGAGTGATGGTATGGGACACCAATGGCATTCCTAGAGTGAAGTGTGAATACCTGTTGACCTTAGTGTGTAGGGCCACCAAGGCACAAGCCTTTTTTCTAGCTGGCACAATCCTCTAGGAGTGCTATCATCATTCTCGGGTCCAAAAGCTTTCATGCTGAATGCTTAAATGCTAGCAATGCAATGGGAACCATTATATTGTGATCTTATTTTTAAATGCTTTCTAACAAGTCCCAAACCAATCTGTATGCAAACCAGTGACATCTAAGTAATAAGTGCTTTATCCAGGATGTTATCTTCACATTTCTTTTTTTGCTGAATTGTGATCCATATCACAAACTAAATAATGGATTTTTTTAATGGTATCTTCAAAAAGATACCCAAATAATCCATCACTCAGATATAACTCTGAGGGGGGTATATACATACATAATGAGTGAGATGTGCACCATCTGGGGGATGGTCATGATGGAGACTCAGACTTGTGGGGGGCAGGGGGGAAATGGGCATTTATTGAAACCTTAAAATCTGTACCCCCATAATATGCCGAAATAAAAAAAAAAAAAGATATATCTCTGAGTAGAGAAAACGCCTCTGTCTTTCTCACCTCTCAGTGATATTATTGCATTATGAAGTACTCAGCAGGCTTTAAGCTTAAGGCTGGTGGGGCTCAGCACACTCATACACTCATGGTGTTAATGAGGCCAAGGTCATGGGGGCCAGTTAGCTTTGCTCTGTGTACTGACCACAGACTACTGGGAATCAGTCAAGAGATGCTAGCACAGACGAGAATGGCACCATGGCAAAGCCTCAGAACTGGTCAGTCCATCTTCCCCATGTGACAGGCAGGATGTGTTAGTAAGGCATCATCATCTCAGGGAGGAAATGAGTAGCAGCTTGGGAGGCCCCAACATCTACCTCTGAACAAAGCAGGCCTGACATTTAGGCATTAACTTTGCATTATAATCCCCCATCATACCATTGATTTGCTGTGTAACCTTCATCACTAAAGCAGAGATAATAGGATGGAATGAAATGGGCTTACCTCCCGGGGATGTTGTGTGAATTAGCAAATTAACGAGTGTAAAGTGTTAGCATTTATGTAAGTGCTGGTGGTTGTCATTATTTCTAGGGACCCAGTCTCATTCTAAATAGAGAATCTAAGTATATTATGCTTTTGTCAGAAAGGGATTTTCACCCGCATCAATTGCATTTAAGCCGAGCATAAAACAGAGGTGATAATAACATAGTAGTGATCATTGCAATGCAGAGCTGTAAACCTTTTTCCTATTAAATCTAAAACTATTTTCAGCAACTTTCAGTGCCTTTAAACTTTGCTTTCCAAGCTTTGTGCCAACAGTTATCTCTACAGTGATTATTCTTCCTGCAACGGGTGGGGGGAATGGGACCTAGAATAGGTCTCATTCATTATTCATTCCCATAATGACTACATAATGTATTGAATTTGTTTACATCATACAATCAAGCAAATTTGGTAGCTGGTTTGATTGCCACATATTGCAATCATTGTAAAAAATAAAAACTCTTTTCTGCTCTGCCCACGCCGGTGTCCTGTAGAGGTAGCCAACATACAGATTGAAAACTCATGGGGAATTGAAGTGTTTTCCAACAAAAGGCACTGTACATAGATCCTTTCAATTTAACATCTTTACCGAGGAATTTTCTTGTTGCCTGCTATTTCCGAGGGGACTGTGCTTGAGAGAATTCTTCCATTTCTTTTATCACCTTGACTTCACTTACCAAGAAAAGTCATTTATTACTGATTGCAGAACTCTTGAACTCAGTCTGGCAGCTGCAGTGTGAACTCCTCAGATCTGGACTCTTGGTTACTTATTTACATATTCATTTGAAGTGATTTTTCAGGACTATTAGAAAACCTCTCTCAACCTGACATCATGTAATAGCCAACATCTGAAGCTCACCTTTTTTTTTTTTGGTTCTTTTTCTCTTTGTCTTACAGATAACCGACGAGTACCTTTGGAAAGGTCACGCTCTCGCCACAATGGAGCTATCTCATCTAAGTGATGCCTGATGCCAAAGCATATGAAAATATTTAAGTAAACAAAATCATACATTTTGAGAAGAACAAAACATGCATCAAGGGATGGAGAGAAAATAAGTGCATTCCTGCGAAGATCAAGCTAAGCTGGGAAGTAGTGTGCATTTATAAAACTATTACAAGACTCCTCCCATAATACTAATCTGGAAAGAGTTTTCAAGATTATAAATCCTGTGTTCCATGTTCGTGTAAAGATGTGTATTATTTGTTATTGTGTGTGACCTGACTGTGATGATGAAAGTGTAAGAAATTGAAGAGTTAGAGCTTTTAAAAACATTCAGTCTGTCCAAAATTTAAAATCTTATGTTTATAGGTCACCCAACCAAAAACATAAAAATAAAAAAAGAAAGAGAAGAAAAAGAATAGAAAGAAAGAGTCATCTAATGTCTGCTTCTAATCACTATTATGTACAAAAGAAAAAGGTCAAGAAAAAATGTGCATCTTAATGATTCTAATATTGTGCACACTGTGGGAGGAGCCATTTTGGAAATTCACAAAAGTACTGCTCCGCCCCAGTCCAGTTATTTAGAATCTTATCTCAAGTGAAAGCTGATGGATTCATCTGCTTTGGCTGAAATTAAACTTATCATTACTCTAGCGTTTCAGCATGATATTGCAGGTACTCATCATTGCTAAAAATAAACCAAAGTTTAATAGAATCGGTTAGGGAAAGTGATTTAAACTTTATTTAAAGAGGTATTTTCTAATTATGCACAGATATCTACTTTATACAAAATACTTTATATGGCTATTTTTGAGAAAAACCTCACATTTTAATGTTTATGCTAGGGATGAATCTGAAAATTCTATTACTTTTATGTAGATTTTTAGAGGCAAATATTGATTCCTGTTCTCTGTGGTTTATTTCTTCTATCGCTTCTTTCTCAACCCCCTTGAAGGCAGGGAATAGAGTTCTAGAAGACCTGAGAGTAAAAAGATTTCTTTCTGCAGGAGGCAACAGAAAACTGTCTGAAAGGTCAATTGTTTTATCTCCCTTTCCACTCTTCTTTCTAATTCTGCTTTGGTGGTCTGAAGAAGAAAAACATTCTATGTACGTATGTGTAAATATGTGTATATATTTATATCTCCTGCTACAATAATTCCACATCCCAGTAACGAAGTGAACTTCTCAATCATCATCATACTTACTTACCTTATATTAGCAAATTAAAATGATGCTGCCAAAACAACTCTAGGAGGAAAAACAGGCTCTACATTTTTCTTAAATAGATGAGACAGTAAAAATTATACTTAACATGTCTATTATTTTAAAATATGCATTGAAATAATGTGGTATAACTTCTCTGGAGTGCAATTTTAAGACTAATTCATGCAGATGATTGTGATTATTGTGAAAGATTTCTTATATATATTTGTTATGTAGAACATCCTATTTCTACTCCTCCAAAGCACATCATAGACATTCAGAGAGAAGAGCAAACGACTGGCATGGTAATATGACATGATAATATCTTAGATGGCAAGTTCCCATCTAAGATAATATAAACAAGTGACCAGTAGCTCACAGATTTTTTTATATAGATGTATGATGATTCAAACTGCTGCCTTGTCCTCCATTGCATTCTTACTTGGGTATTATATTTAAAAAAGCTCTGAAGCTGCTATGATAGAGAAATCAAAAAGAGTAACAGTATCTGAGATTTTACAATTCTGTCCTTTCTGAACACACATACACACGCGCATGCGCACACACACACACATACACACACACATACACAGACATCTATAGGATGTATCAGTTTCACACTGTTTTTTAATAACAACAAAAGTTTGGGTTCTACTAATTTATGTAAATACCTAATATGTGTATTTTTGACTTGGCAAAGACTTTTTTGAAATCTTCATTGTATGGCTTCTTTTGAGTCTTTTGATAGCTTTTCAGGCTGTAGGAAAATGATTTGGAAATGTTAACCCTGACTAAAATCTGAGGGTATTTGCCATGCCATATTATCAAGCTGGTCAAGGTAGAAATACTGATGTGTATCACTTTTTCCATATGTGAACTTGCCTTATTTTCGAGTTTGTGAACAAGAATGAAGAACTATTATCGAGAAATGATATACTTGTATTTAGAACAATTCCACATACTTTTCTCAAACATTAAAAAACCTTTCAGGGTCTTTTATGAAGGTCCAGTAATTAAGTTCAAGGGTTCGCTTCCCAGATTTATAATGATCCTGCTCTATCCATTTGTGGTTTTGTTTTCCATTGAAAAGTAATCACCCCCAAAAAGTACATAATGACATTTTTGGTGCAGAACCAAATGATGCTAAAGTCTTTTGTTAGGCTTATTACTGCCACATGTGAGAAGCACCATTTATGCAGGTTTTCTTCAGAATGTTTTTAAAAAGTACAAAACCCTGAAAATGTTAACTAGTTGTAGTAGTTTCCTTTGGCTGCTGTAACAAATTACTACCAATGTGATCACTTAACACAACAGAAATTTATCCTCTCATGGCTCTGGAGGCCAGAGGCTCAAAGTCAAGGTGTTGGTAGGGCCATACTCCCTCCAGAGGCTCTAGAAGAGAATCTTTCCTTGCCACTTCCAGCTTCTGGTGGTTTTTGGCATTCCTTAGCTTATTGTCACATCTTTCTCTCTGCTCCATCTTTACATCACCTTCTCCTCTGAGTACCTGATCCCCTTAGACCTCTCTCTTTGAAGGATGCTTATGATCATATTTGGGGATCACCCAGATTAATCCAGGTTAATCTCCTCATCTCAATATCCTTGACTTAATTACATGTGCAAGACCCTTTTTCCAAATAAGATAACATTCACAGGTTCTGAGGATATGGATATATCTTTTGAGGGAAGGGGCACCATTCAGCCCACTCTACTACTCATTGCACATACGTTAGAATGTGGACATGTCTTTTTAGAAGCCACCTTCAGCCTACCACAGTCTGTCCTCTGGCCCCAAATTTTTGTCTGTCTCATGTGTAAAATACATTCAACCCGTCCTAACATTCCCTAAACCTCAATGTATTATAGCATCAACTCTTGAGTCCAAAATCTCATTCAAATATCATCATTTCAGAAGTCCCAAGTCTCATTATTTAGATCATCTTAATCAGGTATGAGTGCAACTCTGGGTATGATCCATCCTGGGGCAAAATTCCTCTCTATCTGTGAACCATTGAAACAGAAAAGAAGTTAGGTACTTCCAAAGTACTATGGTAGGGCAGACATAGGGTAACAATTACAGGTATTCCTATTTCAAAAAGTAGAGAATGGGCCGGGCGCGGTGGCTCACGCCTGTAATCCTAGCTCTCTGGGAGGCCGAGGCGGGCGGATTGCTCGAGGTCAGGAGTTCGAAACCAGCCTGAGCAAGAGCGAGACCCCGTCTCTACTATAAATAGAAAGAAATTAATTGGCCAACTAATATATACAAAAAATTAGCCGGGCATGGTGGCGAATGCCTGTAGTCCCAGCTACTTGGGAGGCTGAGGCAGGAGGATTGCTTGAGCCCAGGAGTTTGAGGTTGCTGTGAGCTAGGCTGACGCCACGGCACTCACTCTAGCCTGGGCAACAAAGTGAGACTCTGTCTCAAAAAAAAAAAGTAGAGAATGGAAAGTAGAAAGGAGACACCTGTCCCAGTCATTTTCAAAATCCAACCAGACAATTTCCCTTAGGTTTCAAGGCCTGGCAATAATCCTCTGTACCTGCAGCTCTGCCCTCAGGGTGATCCTTCCTTTGTCTTAAAGGGTAGCACATATTTACAGCTAAATAGTTTTATCGGCCTATTTCCTGCCTGTAGAATTTTGGTAGTCTGGCAATCGTCTGTCATTTTTTTCTGTCTCTGTCCCTTTCGGGCCAAGTTGGAAGTGTTTCTGCTGGTATAAAATTCTCAAAACCTTGTAGGTCTCCCATGTATGTCACATTGATTCACACCTTTAGAAAAGAGGGTCATCACTGATCATTCTTGGATAACCCCATCTCTATTCTTGGCTTCTGTTGAGATGGTTGAGTGAAACCATGAGTCAATGCCTAATCTCTTCAGCACCAGGCAGATGGTGTCCAGCCACACCCGCGGTCTTATTTCCAGAGCACACTTTCCTAACAGTGAATCTCCTAATTTTAGCATCTTTTATAATCTAAATAGACTCAGAATTTCCCCAGTCATCAAATGCTGATTCCTTTTCCTCTTAATTGTTCTTACCTCAATGTATCTCTTTTCTCTCTTATTTTATTTTAAGGAGCAAAAGAAGCTAGGCTACACCTTTAACACTATGCTTGCAAATCTCCTGAGCTAAACATCCAAGTTCATCACTTACAAGCTCTGCTTTCCACACAATCACAGAACACAATTCAGATAAACTACTTGCCACTATCTAACAAGGATTGTGTTTCTTCCAGTTTCCAATAAAATATTCTTCATTTCCTTCTGAGCCCTCACCAAAAATGCCTTTAACATTCATATTTCTACCAACAGTCTGGCTAAGGCAATCTGTGCTTTTTCTCTCACGCACATCAGAATTCTGCCACTCTCTACCCGTGATCAAATTCCCAAGCCCCTTCACATTTTTAGATATTTGTTACAGCACTACTCCATTTCCCAGTACCAAAATCTATATTCGATTTTTATGTCTGCTGTCACTAATAACCCTCAAACATAGTAGCTTAAAAGAATAGAAATGTATTCCCTTACTGTCTTGGAGACCAGAAGTCCAAAATTGAGGTACTGGCTGGGCTGAACTCCTTCTGGAGGCTCTAGGGGAAAATCCATTCCTTGTGTCTTCCAGTTTCTTTGGCTGCCAAGGCTTCCATTCCTTGGCTTGTGGCTGCATCTCCCTCTGATCTGTCTTCATGGCACATTCCCCTCTATGTATATAATCTACCTCTGCCTCTCTCTTATAAGGACACTTGTGATAGCATTTAGGGTCCACCTAGATTATCCATGATAATCTCCTTATCTCAAGATCCTTAACTCACTTCCATCTGCAAAGACCCTTTTTTTCCAAATAAGGCAATATTATAGCTTACGAGGATTAGGATACGGACATATCTTTTGGGAGAAGGGGGCACCATTTAGCCCACGCTACTAGTCATTGCACATACATGTATTTTTCACTTTTTAAAATGCATCCTTGGTGCTCAAGCCAAATTTAATTTTTTCTCTAAAAAGCTACTGTCTGCACAGGCTACTGCATGCTTTGTTGTTAAATGAATGGACAGGCTATTCTAAATTTTGGTTGATACTTTTGCCACTGTGGCTGATTAGCTTGAAAAAAATAATTGATCCCAACTCTGCACTCTGGTGTACCTTTTCTGCCCCTTTTATGGTGTCTTTGACCAGATGTCTTCTATGATTCACAATGCAGGCACAAAACTACCTCTGATACAGAAGGGTTCTTTACAAGCTTATTTTAAATATTGTGAATCCCTCAGCTGAAGGGAGGGGTGAAAAGCAAAGACTGTTTTGAATGGGTATTGAGGAAGATTGTGTCCAAACCAAGCCACCCTGAAGAAGTGTTTCAGTAGCAGTAGAACTGTGGATTTGTGCTATCATTTTGCCTCAGAATAAACACCTGTCTCTAAGCAGGACCAAGAATGACTTGCAATCTGTATGTAATGGCTACTTACTTACTCAATAAAGTTACAATATACATTAAATGTTGCACTGCTTATGATAATTAAGATTAAGCATGAGTGAAAAGCATGAACTGTGAAGTGTTGAGACAGGATGTGAGAACATTCTAGAAGAAGCTTCAACTGAACAAAACTGTAAGAGTGTTTTTATAAGGAGCTGGTGGGGCGGCGATCATGGAATCATATTCAGAGACACACTTGTAGGAACCATAAAGTTTTCTTTAAGTATTCTGGAGCACTGCTTGCCAGAGTAGTGGAGAGATTGTACAAATTAAAAAGTCCAGAAAAGTCAGAAGAGTGATTTACATACTCCAGAGAAACTATTTCAACAGAAAAGGTTTGTCTTGAGTATAGAACTAAAAGCAAATGGGCTTAAAATGCTCAGGGGGTAAAAATCTGGAATGAGTCATAAAGGATTATAGATCATTACTCTCTGGAGGGTTTTCCAAAGAATCTCTCATTATGGGTGGGCTGACTTGAAGATGAAGGATTAGACAATATAACCAGGCTGTAAATGATATGATCCCAAACCTGGCAAGACCATTGTTTCTTTTGGAATGGTTTGCTCCAGGAATCAAATACATTGGCTTTTTCCCCCCTTGAGACCCAACTAGGCAAATTGCTTAATGGGAAATTTGAAAACCTTAGTATCCACAACTAGGAAAGTTTGAGGTTAAGGCCAAGACCTCAAAAGAAAGTGGAAATCTGGAAATTGATATATATGCAATGCATGTAATATGCTATATAGTTTTTATTTATAATGAAAAGAAAGCTAAAGCCAAAGATCCCATTTACAGACTGAATTTATTTACGTGTCTAGAGTTCCAATAGCCACAAACATTATTACAGTTAGTGTCCATTGAAGGGAAAACAACTTACAAATATATGAATTATGCAAATCATATCCTAGTTCCTAGTTCTTGGAAATTAGCCAGAGTTCAATCTTTAGCCATGATGACCTTTTATCTTGGCTAATAGAGGTTCAGCTCGTATTTTCACCTGTATGTTGGCTAATTGAGGTCCAGCCATCACCTTTTGAGGTTTATGAGCAAAGCAAAAGAACTATTACCATGTTATTAGACATAATAAGAAATAATATAAAAACTTTCTCTACTTTGCTAAAGCCTCCCCCACTCCGACTCCCCATTGTGGCTATTCTAGTCATCAAGTGTCCATTCAATGGACGCTTCTTTTTTAGGACACAATTATGAATGAAACATAGCTCTTGCCTTCAAGATCTCACAGTCTAGTGGGACATGGGACATGTACGAACAGAATTGTAATCCAAGGTGGAAAGAAACTGGTCAATGTTATAAGAGTGGTTATAGATAAGGTCTTTGGAAGTTCAGATAAAGCAAGTTACTTACTTTTACAGAGGTAGAGTGGGCACTGGGGTGGGAAGCAGGTGTCAGTATATACTTTTAGGAGGGGATGGCATTTGAACTGAAATTTAAAAGATAAGTGTATTTGGATATGTGATGCTTTTATTCATTTAGCCAGTATTTACTGAGCACCTACTGTGTGCCGCTCACAATGCTGGACTCTGAGGATGTAACAGTGAACCAGATAGATGTGTTCCCTGTTCTCATGGAAGTTATGTCTCTTTGAGGAGGGAAGGGGGAAGCCATGAGCAAAGGTACAAACTTGAAACCTCTTGGTGCATATGTAGGGAATATCGAAACTGAACAGTTTGACTAGAGTACAAGGGCCAGGAAAGGCAGCAGTGGTTGTGTGGTTTGGGCTTGATTCTACAAACCACAAGGGAATACTGAGGGGTTTTGAGCAATGAAGTGATATGGAGCACTTAAGGAAGATGACTCTAGAAGCTCTATGTAGGACAGACAGAGAGAGTAGAAGGCCAACTTTGTCAGAGGCTATTGCAATACTACTTATGAGAAATGAGGGCCCAAACTGGGGTAGCATCAGTAGGACAGATCCGGGTGACATCTAAAGAACTGGCCACCAATTGGGTGTTCAGGGCATGAGGAAAGGGAGGAATCAAATTTGACAACAAGCTTTCAGACCTGAATGACCAATGCGCTACCTTCAACAGAAAAATTGAGCACAAGAAGAAGAGCCCATCTTTTCAGTGGTAACCATGGATATGCATAGCTGCAGCTCTGACACTTGGTACGATCCTGTTATCTGTAGTGTTGAATGGTTCATACAACACTTATATGCAAGCAGCATCAAATCCTAGAGACATAGAGCAGACAGGAGAACATGATTTCTGCACAAGAACTTATTCAGTGGTAGTACAGTGATTATGATAATAAGGCAAAGAAAGGGTAAGTCCTCTACGTTGCTTTCTCTTCCTTTCCTTCCCCCCCACCCTTTTCCATTTCCCTTCTCTTTTCTTTTCTTTCCCTTTGTCTTCTTTTTAATAATTTCTCTTTCAAGCCAAAACATTGAATAATTGTTCAAGGAAAGAAAAAAAAAAACTGACAAAGACTGAGAAGACATTAAAATGTACTGATTCAGTTTTGGTCTCATACTGACAGGAAAGAAAGGCATTTAGATGAAGTATAATTTATGGAAAAAGCTTTAATTAGTTCATAGCTAGGCCTTCTTAAGTGTCTGGTTAATATTTTAAGCCATACATTTGAGGTTCTCGAACAATTACTACTCTAAAAG